ACCTCAGAAACACTCTATTCAAACCACCTCATTTTATAAATAAGGACATTAAGGCTCAGACAGGTTAAGTGACTTGCTCAGGGCCACACAACTCATCAGTTCCAGACTCCAGATCAGCATTGGAAACCGCCAAACGTGTAGCCTGGGGCTCTGTTCTTTTTCAAACCTGTTTAAAGAAAGAAAGAAAGAAAAAAAAAGAAGAAGAAGAAATGCAGTTACACATTGAGTCCAGAACATCCTGGAAAATGAGCACAATTAATAAAAGTAAGCCACGTGGCGAGGAATGAATGAATAGTGAGTTCATACCAAAAATGAGCTGCCAGTCACTGTGATCAGATCTGTTTCTTTCTGACAGCCATGGTTTCCCACTGGGTTGGAGAATCCAAACTGGGTTTCTTCCTCCTGCCCAAAGAAGTCAGCGTCAGGGTGTACGTTCCATTCCGCTTTGGTCGGCGTCAGTAGTTCCGAGACACTGTTTTCACAAAGGGTGCTTGAAGGAGTCAGAGCATCCGTGTCCACAGTCAGCTTACTGCTGGGGGTCAAAGCCTGGGGCTCCTGACTGGAGTTTTTCATGGCCAGAGAGCCCAGAGAGCCCAGCGGCCCCGCACTCACACTGGTGACATCATCCATATCTAAGGGGCCCTGCTGAAAACCGGTGGCTGTGGTTCCAAAAAAGAGAGAGGTATCCAGGCTCTGAGGGAGGTCAGTGGTGGCCATCAGGGCGCGCGGGTCCACGGCCTGCCCTAAGGCATTACTGTTGCTAGCAGGGAGGCTCCCAGCCAGAGTGGAGCTCACGGAAGCCACATCGATGGTCAAGATTCCCGAGTTCACCAAGGCCGTGTCCAGCACTGCAGCGGAACTATTATTGCCAGGCACGTCAGAGAAGAGGGACACCAGCTCTGCGTCGCTGAGATCACTCTGTCCCTGGCTGGTCAGTTCGCTGCTGGGTGTGAGCGAATTTGCAGCTTCTAGCTGAGCCAAGAGGTCCTGGCTGAGGTTGTGCCTCTTGGCCATGTGGGTCTTCATGCTGTGCTTCGATGTGAAGAGTTTATTACAGGTGGACACTGGGCAACGGCTCTTCCAGGTGTCCACGTCCTGCAAGTGTTTCTTGGAGTGAATGTAGAGACTACTGCGGGCGGAGAACCTGGCACAGCAGCCTTCCACGGGGCACACGAAAGGCTTCGTGCCCAGGTGGGTTATGCTGTGGCCCTTCAGATGCTCGGCCCTCGTGAAGGATTTCCCACAGCCTTCCACGGGGCACATGAACCTCCGGTCGTCGTCGTGCTTCCTCTTGTGCCTTAACAGTTTGGACATGCTGGTGAAGTTCCAGCCACAGCCGTCAAAGTCACAAAGGAAAGGTCTCTCGCCGGTGTGGCTCCGCAGGTGGATTTTCAGCCGGCAAGCCTTGTCGTACTGTTTGCTGCAGCCAGGAAAGGAGCAGGAAAAGAGTTCCTGCTCCCTGAAGTGGGCGCGGTTATGGGAAAACAGAGCACTCACCGTGATGAACGTCTTCTTGCAGCCCGAAAAAGCGCACTGGTAGGGCCTCTCGGGCTCGAAGTGGCTGCGCTGGTGGGCGCTGAGCTTGGCCTGCGTGGGGAAGCTGTCTTCGCACACCTCGCACTTGAACGAGTTCTCCTGCTCGTGGCCCTTCATGTGCGCCTTGAGGTTGTACACGGTGGTGAAGCTCTTACCGCAGCCCTCCGCCGGGCAGCCGAAGGGCCGCAGTTTGTCGTGCGACTGAAGGTGTCTCTTGAGCTTGTAGGAGGTGGTGAATGTCCAGCCGCAGCCGCCCAGGGGGCACTTGAAGGGCCTCTGGCCCTGGCTGCTGCTGTGCGTCAGCAGGTGCACCTTCAGCTGGTGCTTCTTGGCGAAGGTCTGCCCGCACTGCGCCTCCGGACACAGGTAGAGCACCACGCCCGGGCCGGGGCCCAGCGGCCCGCGGGGGCTCTCGGCGGCGGCCGGGCCCTCCGCCTCCTCCTCGGGCGCAGGGGCGGGCGCGGGTTCCGCGGGCTCGGCCAGCAGGAGGTCCGGCGGCAGCTCCGGGCAGTCGCCGGGCTGCGCGGCGTGCGCGACCCCCGCTTGCGGGGCGACCAGCCCGCCGGGCTGCGGGGCAGGCGCGACCCCGGGCTCCCAGGCTGGCGGCGGGGGCGTGGCCAGGGTCAGGACGCCGTTCTCGAAGCGCAGCAGCAGGTTCTGGTTGTGGATGGTCACGGTGCCCGCGAAGGCCGCGGCGGGGCCCAGGCCTGGGGCGGGGGCCGGGGCCGGGGCCGCGGCCGGGACCGGGACCGGGAGCGCGGACAGGCAGCGGGGCCCTGGCGCGGGGCGGCCCGCGGGGCGCGCGCCGCTCTCGCCCCCCTGGAGCCCTGGGCCGGCTTCGGCCTCCTCCCTCCAGACGGGCCCTGCGGCCTGGCCAGCGCCCGGGGTCTCCACGTCGCCACCCACCGGGTCCAGCAGCACCAGGAAGAAGTCGCCGCCGCCGCCGCCGCCGCCGCCGCCGCCGGCCTGATCGGGCCTGGGCGCCAAAGGGCTCGGGCCCGAGCCCGGGCCCCGCGAGGCCGCGCGGGCCTCCTCGCGCCGCCGCCCGGGCCCGCCATCTTGGGGGCCCCGGAGCAGCAGGAGGCGGCGCGCGGGGGCCTGGCCAGCCCGCGGGTCGGGGCCTCCGTGGACTCGGCCGCCGCCCGCGGGGCTGCCAGCGCCGCCGCCCTGTCGCATCCCGCGAGCCGGGAGCAGCCTCGGGATTTCCATCTCCGCGTCTGAGAGGCTCTGCTGGAACCAGAGCCGCGGAGGAGGTGCGACCCCGCCCCCTGCCGCGGGCCCGAACACGTTCCTGAAAGGAAAAAAAAAATGTGCAATGCGCAGAAACTGGCCCTATCAGATATTAAAACGTGTTTAACGCCACAGTGATTTAAATATTGTGGTACTGGGTCTCTGGAACAGAAAGAAAGCCCAGAGGCAGAGCCTGGTATGCAGAAATAAATTCCACCGTTAACAGGACTAGGAAATCCCGCAGATCTTCCCAGGTAATGGGCGAGGGACGGTTCACTTGGTAAATGCTGCTGGGATACCTACGCGTCTATCTGCTACAGGCAGCTGAAGCCCGAACCTCCCTGTATATCCCAAAGCAAACACCCGCGGCCCCTCCCAGTGCTAAGCATGGTGCTTAGTACTGCTCATGTGTGAAAAAATCGTTGACTGGCTGGCTGGCCGGATAGATGAGAGACTATTATTCCTCAGAGAACACAGGTTGTGTCAACGTTACTCTACCCCTCCCGCTAGGAATTGCTACAGAAAATGAGGCCGTCGGTGTTGTTTGTTTTCCCAGCCAACTTCCATACCCAGAATCGTCTTGAGCAGGAAAGTGTGGCACATACCTACATTTTTGTTGTTGTTGTTCTGCCGGTGCAGAACTTACAGCCAGTGAGAGGTGGGGCCAAAACACATGAGCACTGATCAGCCTAGAAACGCAAAGCCTGGGGGGATGGAACAATTTCTACCGAAATCTGGAAAACCCAAACTGTAACTGAACCGAACGCGGGTCCGGCTGCCTGCCGCTGCGGAAAGCCAGTACTCGAGAGACAGGTGCAGATGTCAAGGAAAGTGGTTTATTCGCAACAGCTGGCTATCTGGAGGGGGGGACCCCCCCCCCGTCTTCGAAGCCCATCTCCTGGAAGATGGGGGACTCCTGTCTCAAAGCCCATCTCCACCTGTCAAGGAAGGCAGAGATGTTTTATAAGGAGGGAGAAGGGAACAGAACCAGGAGATCAAGGGAGGGGGCTGCAAAGTTCTCTAGCGCAGAGGAGCAGGGTCCGTTCCAGTAAGGCCAGTGGGGGTCCGGTGTGCAGCATCCCGGTTTAATCATGCTGGCTTCAGGGCCCCGGGGCTCCGCGGTGGAAGGTCAGCAAATCTCCTGGCAGCTGGAAAAAATGCCTGAGGGTCGGGGTCTGTATCTTTTGAAACTAGTTCCTAGGATTCTTACACAAGCGAGCTGTTCACCTGGAAGCCATGTATTAGACAGAGGCAGCACTTACAGGAACAACATCAGAAGAATGGTGGGGTGGGTTACAATTTCCCACCGTTACGAAACCCCTGCCTGCTTCTCTCTCTACAGTGAGAGACTATTATGCCATGGATAATAGGCCAACTCTGCCCTCCCACCATCGGTTCCGGCATGGACATGTTCTGTCCAGCCTCACGGCACAAGGAGGCTGACAGGCCTCGGCTTTCGCTAGATTCTTCAGCACGGGGAGGTCTCTGGGCGGAAGTACCAGTTCGATGTGGCAAGGTTAAACTGCAGTGCAGTCTCGGCCCCCCTAAGTCACTGCAGTGAAGTCTCCTGAGAAAAATGCACAGATGACCGTGTGCCATGCACCCCACTACCACCACCCCATGCCCCTGCCTGCATTTAGTGGTGGTGGTCCAGTCTCACTGTGTGACGGATTGGGCCTGTGACGCCTAATGATCTTGTTGTTGATGATGTTGATCCTCCGATTCGTCTGTCATCAATGAAGTTGGGAACTGATATAAAGATGGGGTGAAATGCCTAGCAAGAGATGTTTAGAGAGATGACTTGATGACGGGGTACCTATACTTTAAAGAATCCCTGCTTCCCCCCTTTTCGATGACAATGTATGCCTGCTGATCTCTTGATTAGAAGATCAAGTCTTCCATCCATAGCAATTCAAACCTCATCAAAACGTCTACCTCACATTGTTTTGTTTTGTATTACATTTATTTGGAGGGAGCGTTTTTCACATCCGCAGTACAGAAGATTGCATAAAACCTATGTGCCAGGTTTAGACGCTTTATAAAAAGTGTCTAAACCGGGACCGCGGTCAAGAGATGGACCACTGCCAGCCTTCCAGAATGCCTCCCAATCACAACCCACTCCCTCTCCTATGCGTAGAGTCATGCTCCTGACTTTGTGGTAATCATCTCCGTGCATTTCTTTATAGCTTCACCACTCCACATGAAGTTGTAGCAACAGAATTATACCGTGTGCTTCCTTTTATAGCCCCCTTCTTTCGTTCTGTCCACGTCATTCAGACTAAGACTCATCCACGTCATTCAGAGTAGCCGTCGATCCTCTGTCTCCATTTGTTGACTAGAACTGCAGTGTATGATTTCAGCAAAGCGATTATGGTATGATTATGCCATCTGTAGTAGATGGACACTAAGGGTTGTTTTCGGTTTTCTGACCATGGCTCTCTGAACAGTGCTGCAATTAGGCAAGCAAAGGAACTGAGGTCATTCCGTTCAAGAAGAACGATGTGAAACTACCTGTTTGCAGATGACATGCTCATGCACGTAGAAAATCTTAAAAACCCCTCGCCAAAAGTGCTAGGACTAATCAATGAATTCAGTACAGTTTCCGAATGTGACAGCAACATACGAAATCCAGTTGTATCTAAACATTAACAATCTACTCTAAAAAGTAAAAATAAGGAAATGATACGATTTACGGAGGCATCAAAACGTACACAACCTTGAAGACTAAACTTAACTAAGGAGGTGTACATGGAAAACTACAAAACACGGATGGGAGAAATTAAGACAAAGATAAAATGGACAGACATATTCATGGACTGGAAGATTGAATGTTGTCCAAACATCCACTTATGAAATTGGACCCTTATCTAACGTCATGCACAGAAATTAATCCAAAAGGGGCTGGACACTTAAGTGCGATACCTGAAATTGTAAATCTCCTAGGAGAGAATATTAGGGGAAAGTTCTGGGCATGAACCTGGCCAATGGTTTGTGTGTGTGTGTGTGTGTGTGTGTGTGTGTGTGTGTGGCTATAACACCAAAATCAGAGGCAAGCAAAACCAAATATAGACAAATGTGGCCACGTCAAACCAAAAAGTTGTGTCCAACAAAAGGAAATAATCGACAGGGGGAAAAAGACAACCCATGGAATGGAAGAGACCGTACATCTGATGAGGGGATAATACTGAAAATAAATATGGATCCCCACCCCCCCTGCACTCCAATTCAGGAGAAAAAAATAACTGAAAATGGGCAAAGTACTCGAATAGTCATGACTACAAAGAAGACATACAAAGGGCCGGCAGCTATACGAAAAGATGTTTAACATCACTAATCACCAGGGAAATGCAAAACAAAACCACAATGAGATATCCCTTGTTCATATGGCCAAATTAAAAATGTACCCATGCATGTCCTGACTGGCGGTGGTGGTGGGCTGGGGGGAGTGGAGACAACTGTACTTGAACAACAATGACAGATTTCTTAAAAGTTTATCACAAAGATATAATGAGTACTGATGAGGATGTGGAGAAATTGACAACTTTTACACTATTGGTGGGAATGTAAGATGGTGCGGCTGCCGTGGAACACCGTGTGGAGGTTTCTCAGAAAATTAAAAATAAAACAATCATGTCACGTAGCAATCCCCCTCTGGGTCAATGTCCACAGGCATTGAAGTCAAGATCTTGAAGAGACATCTGCACCCCCATGATTCTTGCAGCCTTATTTACAAAATAGCTAAGACGTGAGAGCAACTTCAATGTCCCTCAACAGAGAAACCGATAAGGAAAATGGCCAACGAGCCTACAATGGAGTGACATTCGGCCTTAAAAAGCAAGAAAATCCCGCCAGGTGGGACACAACAGAGGGCCTTGAGGACGTTATGGTAGGCGAAGTAAGCCAGTCACAGAATAACAAATGCTGTGTCATTCCATTTACATAGAGTAAAATAGTCAAGCTCATAAAGGCAGACGTTTACTTTTATTGAGACTTGACTACTTAGAGCAGCTTCGGTTTCTCTGTGAAATTTCCGGGTACGTACAGACATTTCCTATGAACCCTGCCGTCATGGGTGCAGTCTCCCCCCCCCTTGTGAACAGCCCCCATCAGATGCACATGTATCACAACTGATGAGCCTCCTTTGACACTTTATAATCACTCAAAAGCCATAGTTTACATGACAGTCCACTCTTGGTGCTGTCCATTCCCCTGGTTTGAACAAAGGTATAAGGACATATACCCATCATCGTGGTATCCTAAAGAATAGTTTCACTGCCCTAGCATTCCTGTGTCCTGCCCATTGACCCTTCCTCCAAGCCCCCCCCCCCCCCCCGCCCCGGCAACTACTGACCTTCTTACTCTCTCCATAGTTTCGGCCTTTCCCGAGTCGCATTTAGCCGGAATCGTATACCGTGTAGTCTTTTCAGGTGGGCTTATTTCGCTTCATAATATACATCTACAATTCCCTGGTGTCTTTTCATGGCCTGATAGCTTGTTTCTTTTTAGCCCCAGATAATTTTCCATTGCTTGTGTGTATCATAGTTTGTTCACTTACCTGCTGAAAGACATCTTGATTGCTTCCAACTTTTGACAAGCATGAACAGCACTTCTTACTATAAAAGCGTGCAGGTTTTTGTGTGGATGTGTTTTAAAGCCAGTCTGGTAAATGCCAAGGATCGTGATCGCCGGACACTATGGTAAGAGTATGTTCAGTTTCGTAAGAAGCCACCAGTCTCCCAGATGGGCTGTGCACGTCTGCACTCCTGAACGAGAGTTCCTGCTCTTCCACATTCTCGGCAGCATTCCACGTCATGAGCATTCTGGACTTGGCTATTCTAATCCCTGTGTGCTGGTATCCTATGTTGTTGCAGAAGCCAGCCAAGGTTCTGATGGTGTTTGCCAGCTGCTAGTGAGATGGGGAAACAGAAAACTGCTTTCAACATGTACAGAGTTTTCATTTCGCGAGGCGAATGCATCTTTAGAGATCTGTGTGCCTACAGCTAACAATAGCGCATTGCACAATTTCCAGTTTGTCAATCGGATAGACCTCATGTTAAGGGAAAAATTAATGCTTGTAAAATACCGTGCATGTGGCTATGGCACCGTGTGAGCCCATGGATGGCAATATCTGCAGAAGCATTGCATGCAGGAAAGGCGAAGTCTTATTCTTATTGCCTTTGCCAAGGAAAGTGTCTACT